ACCCTAACCCTAGAACCTGATGAACCCTAACCCTAGCTACACTGAGACTCGTCCACCTTTGCCGGACCTGATGTAGAACCTGACGAACCCTAACCTTTCAGTGTGGTGGGCTGCAGCCTGGAGCTTTATGCTGGTGGTTCCCGAGGCAAAGAAAACCGTTAGACACAGAAGAGATGATTGATTCCAGGTTATCAGTCAATGGCCAGTTTAAACCCACAACCTTCATCGAGTGAATCAGACTGAACAGAGTAAATCTGAAGCACTATGACACTGAATTCATGTGTTTGCTCAGTTTAACGAGTTCCAAATATACCTTCAAACAACATTTCTGACTCGAAACTCCGGTGATGCACCAACAGTTCACACCCTGAACAAACTCACCTGAGGGCTGGATCTGATAAAGCGTCTGCGTGCTCAGCGCTGCACAGCTCTTCTGGACCTTTGGTTTTTCGGAGTTCAGTCGTCTCAGTTTGTCTTTCAGAGCTTCGTTCTCCATCACCACCGCCATGTAAAGTTCTCTGAAGACGCTGCAGATTTTCCGTACAGCTTCTCTGGACATCACGTCCAACACGGCGTTCAGCTGATCCTGCAGGAGACACCAGGTCAGATTAGTCTGTGGTCATCTGCAGCTAAAGCGTTTCCCTCCTGTCCCAGCTGCACCACTGGTGCTATCAGGAGCAGCAGCCACCTGTGAAGGTTCGCTTTGACTCGTTCTGCTCCAACCTGCAGCTGCCTGAACGTGTCTGCACACCGATTCCACCTCTTGAGCCTTGATGAGGTGACGGACTGAGCTCACGCTGAGCCGTTAGTGTCCTTAGTCAGGGTTTGGGTTGACTGGATGCAGAATCTGGGTCACTAACGGACTCCTTGTTATCAGCCTGCATCCATCTACGGGTCACCCTAACCCAGCAACCTAAAGTTCTGATGAAAGGTCGGCTGTGCCTTCCCGAATGGTCCATTTTAATGACGGTTCTGGCCTCAGTGCTGCAAAAGTTCCACCAGAACCCTTCTGTCACCATTTAGGTGAGTTCAGTGGATCTGTCCTGTTCTCAGCTCTGAGCACAGCAGCTGTGGTCCATTTACAGAAACAGAACAACGAGAATAATAGAATCATACGAATAAGAGGATAATGATGAGGTGAAGCCGGACGGTTCTGTTCTGAGTCCAGTAGAACCTGCAGCTGAACAAGCAGTCACTTTCCTGCTTGTCTGAATGTCACATGAAACTTTCTGAGGTTTAGATCAGCAGCTGGACTCGTTTATAGTCCGTGCAGACCACGAACAGCTGAGCGTGACCGAAGCTGCTCCCCGGTCAGCACAGCGCCGCCTGCAGGCCTGGAGCCGCAGTTCGGACGAGAGGAGCCACGTCTGTCCTCTGAGCAACACTCTACAATTAATCACTAATTACACGTTTACTCAGCATGCAGCGCGTTTCTGTTTCTCAGCGACCGCGTCAGACCGCCGGTAGCCGCCGGTAGCCGCCGGTAAACTCTGCGGCGAAGGAGGAAGTGAAGGCGGATTCTCCTCCGGAGCTTTCTGCCGTCCTCCCTCCACCCTGAGCGGCTGCTCACCGTGCCGCCGTCAGTCTGCTGCAGGACGCACACCGCGGACTCCACCGCCGCCTCCATGATCAGCGCCGCCTGCGAGGAGAACGTTTTCACGGCCGCCATGTCTGTCAGGAGCCGCGGCTCCGGACCGCGCAGATTACCGGCTGCAGCGGGAACCGCAGCCGGTCAGAGAGCGCCAGAGAGCCGCTGAGTCCAACAAAGCGTCGGGATGGTTCTCTGTTGTCCTCAGGCCAACATGGCGGACGACACCGTGTTTACATCCGGGTCACCGCTGCGTAGTGACGGTCACGTTTCAGCTCTTTGTAATCATCCACCGAGCCGGTACCGGAGCCGGTTCCAGGGTCTGTAACACCGGCGGGACCGCGGACCGCTGTTTGGAACGTTTAACACAAATTCTGACTTTACAGTGTTGAGTTGAGAAGCAGCGCCGCCCCCTGTGGCCGCACAGTGGAACTGCACCGGTGGACTGCAGTTCCAC